ATTCTCCTTACATATTGATAATAATTTTTTGAATCTAAAGATGGTGCCCCTGCAGATCTGATAAAGTTCTTTCTAAATAGCATCGAAAGGTATGCGTCATAAATCCGATCTATTGTTATTTAATTTCAATCCTGGCATAAAAAATTTTTCACGTTATATATAGTAGTATATTATAGATTTTATGCTTACAATTAGTTTTAGAGCCTAGTTTCTTAAAAAAAAAATTATTTATGATGCTAGAATGATCTATGTATATTATCGATCTAACTTCCTATCTGGTCCATCTTGTCACCTACTTGCAGGTGATGTGAGATTGTTTGTATCGCGGTCTTTGATGATCGCGAGGCAATGGTGGTGGCTGAGTAGCACCGACTATAACAATAGTGCTACATGCGGCCGCTTGTTAGGACCATATCAGCACTAAGAGGGCGGGGTGTGTGAATTAGTGTTTTTATAAAAATTACATCGATTTAAAAATTTTGTTCGATGAAATCGTATCGAAAAGCGTTTAAACTTAGAGAGCACATTCGTAAGCATAGTGAGAGTAGTAAGTGTCACGTCCCCTTAATTTAATTCTCATTCAGGAGGTGTGAACCTAACTCAAAATTGATAATATTAGAATTCAACAAACAATCCAAGATCCAAACACACATTTGAGGATACTAAGAAAACATTCAAGTCAGAATTTACCTTTACAATCCACAATTCACAAAACCTATGCAGTTTATAATCATACATCATATCACTTAATGATTCATAAAATCCAAAACCTACTCAACTAAACCATAACCACATCATAAATCCATAGTTGTAGAAATTTATACAATCACAAAACCAACATGTACCACATGTTTATATCATTACATAATTTTAACTTAACTTAATTTTACAAAACTCATAAGTTCATATTTACGATAAACATTCTATTAGATACCAAGTACACTTATACAACAAAAACATATTGTCCAATAAAGGTTTACCCAAAGTCTTCTAGCTTTCCACTGCCTTAGCCCAATTTAAACATTTTAGCGAGCAACAAGCTATCCTGAAAAAAATTATATAGCAGTAGAGTGAGCATATAAACCTCAGCAAGTGACTAACATATCCGTGGCAAAGAGGACATTTTCGAACAAATAAGGTTTCAAAATACAAGGCAGAGATACAAGAGTTCGAAGATAACCACTCGACGAATGCAGAATTATAATGTTGTATCGTTCGAAGCATGTTTTGTTCATAACAATAGAGTAAGGGCTAATTTGAGCATATCATTGGCATAAGAAGCATATCCATGACATATGAAATATTTCAAAGCATATCAAAGATGTAAGGAGCATTTTGGATATCAATGACATATGAAACATTTCGGAGTATATCAATAACAACTGAAACATTTCGGAACATATCAAAGAACAAATGCAAAATCGAAGCTCAACATCGCATTGACATTGCATACTTTTCATTATTATCCAAAGCACACATAGAATAGTATAACTAAAGCTCTGGAAATCATATCAAATAGATAGAAGGTGAAGTGGGATCCCAAACATAATCTCCCATGTTTGGGAGCGTCATCCATCCACATCTGGATGAAGCCAGTGGGGGCCAGCAAAGCATCGCGGACTCTAAGCATATACCCTTTTTCATTTTTGGTAAAGGTCTAGATAATCCTTTTACCATTTCTGGCAAAGGTCCAAATAATCTCACAAACACCAGAGTACAAAAGGGGCATTGTGAATAATAAAGTTGGCACATATCGGAAACACATGCGGATCAACGGAATGCATGTGCCTATATGAAACATTGCGATACAAACATGAAATTTACATGATAGATGCAAGTATACAAATAATTGAAGGACAAGAATATATAAGAATTTCAAGCAATAATGTAAAGCTCAACTGAAGTAAGGATGTTAGCTGAAATCAATTTCCGAAGGGATGAAAAAAGAATAGGCAAAATTGACCAAAGCTCGATTCTGGTAGAATTTTAGAGGCATATTATATGAATTATTTGGATAACCAATTATATATAAAATTTTATGATACTATTACTTCCTTCGGATTTAAAGAAAATACTATTGATTAGTACATATATCTAAAGGTTAATGAAAGCAAGTTTGTTATATTAGTCTTATGTGAATGATATTTTGTTTGCTAATAGTGGTCTTGGTTTATTGCACGAAACTAAGATGTTTCTTAACAAAAATTTTAAGATGGTTGATATGAATGAGGCAATCTATATTATTAGCATTAAGATATTCAAGGATAGATCTCAAGAATTATTAGGACTATCTCAGAAAGGATATATTGAGTAAGACTTGAAGAGATTTAATATGTAGCTTTATTCAGCCAATAATACACCTATTACTATATGTGAAAAATTCAGTCAAAACCAGTGCTAGAAAAATAACTTAGAAAAGAATCAAATGAATGATATTCCTTATGCATACACAATTGGAAGTCCATTATATACTTAAACCTGTCTAAGATTAAATATCAGTTTTGCAATTGTAATACTAGGTAGATTCCAAAGCAACCTAAAAATAGAACATTGGAAAGCTACAAAAAAAAGTAATAAGATATCTGCATTGGATAAAAGATTATATACTCACATACAGGAGATCATATCAACTTGAAGTGACAGGATATTTTGTAAATTACCTCAACGGTAGGAAGTCCACTTTAGGATTTATATTCATGTTAGTTGAAAGGGTAGTGTTTTGAAAAAGTGTAAAATAATCACTTATTGCGTCATCAACAATGGAAGCTGAATTTATAACATGCTTAAAGGCCATAAATCAGGCTTTGTGGCTATGAAATTTTATCTCAAGACTTGGCTGTAATCGACTCAATTGTCATACCGTTGAAGATATTTTGTGATAACACAGCAATAGTTTTCTACTTTAAGAATGGTAAGTACTCTAATGATTCTAAGCACATCGAGATAAAGTATTTGATAGTTAGAGAAAGAGTCCAGAAACAACAAGTACCAATTGAGAACTTGAGCACCACCATGATGATTACTGATATATTTACTAAAGTTTTATAGTCTAAAATATATATAGAATATGTTCTTAGAGTGAGACTTGTGAGCAAACCAAAAAAGATATGGTGATACATATTATGTGGCTACTATTATTGATATTTGTTTTACTTAATTAAAATTATTTATTTTTACTAGCTTGTTTACATTTATGTTTATATTTATGTATATTATAGTTGAATGTAATAATAGGATTGTCTTAAAAAGATAAATTACAAGGGTCATTATGGACTATATTAGGAAAGGCTAACAATGTTATAGTACATACAAGGGAGTATAACATCGATGACATATAACCATTATAACTCATATTGATAGTTGAACTTAATATAGTATTATTATGTTTATTAGATTTATTGACTAATTTTTAAAATTCATGATCATGTATAAAATGTTTTTCAAAATTTTTAGAATCAAATTAGGTAAAATTATTTTCAAACAAATTTTATTTTATTTATTTTAATTTTAAAATTTTTTTATATCTTATCAATTAATGGACCGAGAATGTTAGACTGTGTAGCTTTGTTTAATTGATAAGATATATTATAGACTAATTAAATTCTGATGAAAGTTATAGCCAATAGAAAGAAAGTTCATATTAAGATAGGATTCCTTAGAAGATGTTTTTGATGGGAGAAACTTTTCTAATTACTTATCTTAGACCCTCTGTTCTCGCCTATATAGAGACATGACCTCTAGGGACTAAACAATATATGATGTGTTCGACACACGATATATGACGGACGTAAATACATGACAGTCATTGAGAGATTACAGTTCCTCTCTCATTCTCCTTGTCTCTAATCAATCAATCTAAATGGTACTATAAAGAAACTCTAGCTCTTCTTGCAAATCAATAGTGGTTTTTCAGATCGGAAAATGATACCCCTCCTATACATCTGATAAAGTTATTTCTAGATGATATCGATGCACATCATAAATCTGATTTATTATTATTTAATTTTAATCAAAAATTTTCACATTATATATAGCTTTATAGCTTTATGCTTACAGAATCAATAAATAACGTGTCGATTACGCATTAATGTCACAGAATTTGCAAGAGTCCACTACTGCCACCTTCTCTAACACGTGTATTATTCTTTGACCATAAGAAGGGTATAGGGTATGGAATTGTGAAGCAAAGTTCTCTCTGAGAAAAGAAACTACTTGAAATTTCTAAGCTCTGGTCAGAGTGCAGAAGGTTTGCTTCAGATTCAAGTCGCAAAATCCAAAAGTCGGCACCTCTAATTTTTTGTTACAGTGATAAGCAATGCACCAAGCTTGCTATTTTAGATTCTGAGGCTAAAGTTAAAGGTAATGAATTGTAATTATTCAGAAATGAACTAAGACGAATTAATTGACCTTATACCGTATAGCATTTGATCTAGATTTCATGATTGTTCTGTAATCAATTGAGAGTAAGTAGTTCATCTTCGGCAACCAGAAAGTGTTTTGGTGAAGAATACATAATAACTGAGGTGACAACACATTTAAGGAATATGGCAAATCTCAATTGGACAACTAAGATATGTCTGCATTTGCATTACTGGAGCAGTTCATGAACTACGAAGGACAAAACTTCTGCATGATCTTGAAGTTATCTTTGGTCATTTAATACTTTGGCACTGCTAATAGCAAGAATTTTCAGCAAAGTGTTTCTGATTTTTGAGGGTTGTCCTGTAGCAGTAACCTCCTATCAGAAATTTAGAATCCATTGCACCATTGTGAATCTATTCAGTGGATTTAAGTAAAAATAACCTCATTGTGATGTTCCACTTATATCTTCTAGACTTGTAAATATATTAAATATTTAGAACATGAATAAGCCATCATTTAATTTTTTAAGTTTACCTTACGGCAAGTACAGCAAACACAAACGCAATACGTGAACACCAAAATAGTCGATACGATAGATATTGCCCGTCATGTATGAAAGAATCATATATGCCAGCAGTTGGAGACTTGTATTCATCACCAATCTGAATTGTTTCAACTGAGCTTGCAGTAGATAGAAGTTGTACCTGAAAGAAGAAAGCTGCTACAGTTTTGGCAAGATGGCAGGGTGGGTTTTATCCATCAACTGTTTTCTTAAGATCTTGCCTGCAGGTGATCTTGGAATGGTGCTTATGAAAGCAACTCTTCTGATCTTTTTGTAGGGTGCCACCTGATCAAATTTTGGACAGTCAATCCATGATAGAAGAAGCCACAGTTTAACATGCACCAAATTTACTCATCATTTGTGTGCAGTTTTGTTGTTAAATTTTAGTCTCATCTAAAAGCTAAAGATAATAAGATAAGACATTCTTAGATTATTCATCATTATATGTGGGACTTAAGCCGCTTCATCAAGAAGCTTAGCTGAGAGATGAGAAATTTAGATAATGGAGAATTATACTTGGAACAGAGATATCAATAATCAAATGAGCTAGTTTTTATCATTTTGCATTCTAACAAGTTCAGAGTGACAAATGGAATTGTTTGTTGAACATGCAGCAAGAACAGAGAGACCGATCGTCGAATGAATTATAGATCCATCCAAGAAACAGTGTTGATGATTCCTTATGAAGCTGCTATGTTGATTCAGTGTCATAGTGATTTGGTTTATAATGTCACATGTTAGCAAGATATCAAGCTGTAAAATCTGACAAATGAACCCTTAAGATCTCGTGGTGAAACTCGAATGTTAAGAGTGACAGGTTTCCAGTGGATGAACACACGGAGACGAGCAAATAAATGACAACAAATAGAAACTGGCCAGAGCCTCAGATCTAATGATAAGTGAGGCTACAAGCTTTTTTTTTTCCTGGGAGATCAACAGTCTTTCATGGTCTGAGATAGTATGGATTTCATCTAATGCAGAAAGAATAAACGAAGCTGATGACATTACAGCAGTCACTCTTGGATGATATTTGTGTTATGTTATATTGTCAATGGAGAAGTGCTTCCAGGATCTATCCAAATTACTGCAGACCTAATAATGTTGAGAGAGAGAGAGAGAGAGTTGAACCTGAGCTGCAACAAACTGGATGATCTCCTCACTTGTCAATTGGCTCTCAGGTGATCTCACCACATAAGCCATGGGCACTTCACCTGCCTCTTCATCCTCCAGCCTGCAACGTACTCCAACAACAACTATTATGAGCAAGGTTTGCAATATCATACCGTACCGATATTTCAATCTGGGATCGGTACCAGTACGGTATGATATACCGAATGGTACACTCAGGTGTGCCGAGTACTGTAGCACTGCTATAGTGCTACAGTGCACTCGGATCGGTAACAGACGGTCCGCGTACCGACAACCTATCGGACCGGTACGTACCACCCGTATCGGGCGGTACGGTTCGGTACGACAGACCCTGGTTACGAGGACATCTGTGTTTTATGATGGATCACCGCAGAGTCGATGATAGCTACGACCAAAGAGTGTGAGACTCACGGCACTACTGCAGCGTCAAGTATGTGAGGATGGGCGAGAAGCACGGCTTCCAGCTCTGATGGAGTCACCTGCAATCCATTCCATGCATCAGCTTCCGTTCCTTGTGTGTGTGTGCGCGTGCACTGTTCATGGCGATGCAATTACCTGGTACCCTTTGTGCTTGATGAGCTCTTTGATGCGGTCCACCACGAACAAGAAGCCATCCTCATCGAAGCGCACCAAGTCACCCGTGCGCAGCCACCCACCGCCAGGCAACGCCTCCGCCGTGGCAGCCTCGTCCCCCAGGTAGCCCTTCATTACCGTGGGCCCCCTCAGCCAAAGCTCCCCGACCCCACCGGGCCCCACCGCCCTCTCCCCCGCCTCCGCCGCCACCACCCGCGCCTCGAAGCCCGGCAGCAGCTGTCCCACTCCCCTCCCCTCCGGCCGCCTCGACGCCGCCACCGAGAACGTCGCCGCCCCGCCGCTCTCTGTCAGCCCGTACCCCTCCCTTAGCTCCACCCACGGGTACCGCCGCCGGAACCCGCTCGCCGCCTCCGCCCCTACCGCAGCCGCGCCCGTCGCCACCCTCCGCAGACCCGACAGGTCCCACCCGCCGGAGAACTTCGCCAAGGCCGCCACCACCGGTGGCACAGCCGGGATGTTCGTCACCCCGTGCCGCGCCACCGCCTGCATCGCCGCCCCCATCTCGAAGCGCCGCATTACCACCGTGGTGGCCCCCGCCGCAGGCAGCCCCAGAGCGAAGAACGCCATGCCGTACACGTGGGACATCGGAACGAAAGCCAGGTAGACGTCACCCTCCGACCCGCTCACCTCCGCCGACCACCGCAGCAGCGACACTATCGCGATAAGGTTCCCGTGGGTCAACATCACCCCCTTGGGCGCTCCCGTCGTACCCGAAGAATACAGAACGACCGCCACGTCGGACTGCCCGCGAGCGGGGGGCGGCGCCTCCAAGGGGTCGCCCCACTCCATCATCTCCTCCGCGGACGGCGGTCCGTCGGGGTCCCCTGGCTCCCGTTCGGTGAGGAGGGTGGGGACCCCGATGGCGGCGGCGGCCTTGTGGGCCTCCTCGGGAGCGGCGATGGCGAGCGTGGCGCCGGCGTCGAGGGCCTGGCGGGCGACCTCAGCGGGGTGTGGAGGGGGCTGGCGGGGCAGAGGACGGCGCCGGTGGCAAGGACGGCGAGGACAATGACGGGGTATAGAACGGTGTTGGGGGAGAGGAGGAGGACGACGTCGCCAGGGCGGAGGCCGAAGGCGTGGTGGAGGGCAGCGGCGAGGGAGAGGGCGGAGCGGCGGAGGTCGGAGAAGGTGAGGCGACGGCCGGTGGTGGAGTCGAGGAGGACGGGGCGGGTCGATTCATGAGAGGGGAGGAGGGAGAATACGAAGGAGGCAGCGTCGAGGGAGGGGTCGGAGGGAGGGCGATGGCGGGGGGCGAGGCGGTGGAGGGAGCGAAAGATGCCTGAACGAGGGCAGAAGCCGCTCTGGGTATCCTCCTCCTCGTGCTTCAAGTGCTCGACCAGCGTAGGCGCGTCCATCGTTGTTGTTGGTGACAAGCGGAGGTTTAGCTATCAAGAAGTCTTCTCCATGTTTCCAGTGTTTGTATTTGGAATTTTGGATCGAACAAGAAGACATGAGCTGGGCGTTAAAACCGTTGCAGGTGGCCCTGAGGACCTATAGCTGTCTGCTTATGCCGGCCGATGGAACCAAGAAATTGCAGGTGGCCCATCATCTCACATTAAGCTTATTTTTCAACATTCACTCGAGCGTCAACTTAATTCCATCATCTAAACAATTCGATCAATGCTTCACGGACGTCACACATGTCGCGTACATGTCAATCCAGTGAATCTGAATGATCAAACAGCGAAGAAAAAGTAATCTGAAAGCCCGCATGACCCAAACATTGGTTTAAGGTCGAAGGTCAACATGAAGACCACGAAACACCAGGTAGCAGCATGTTTCCATCACACGCAATCCGTGAAGGTCACCCTGTGCAGGACTCCCAAATAGAATTTCCGTTCCAGATGACAGGGGAGTCACGTACCCATCTCACCACCTTGAATGGAAAACCAGATTGTGAGTGGGAAATGTTCTCCTGAGTGGTAATAACAAAACCCTTGGGAATTTACATTCTCACAATTACAGTACATGAATCTAGGACTTGAGGGGAAGGAAAGAGAGGAAGAGAGAGATGGAAAAAAAAAAAAAGAAAGAAACATTACTCAGAATAAGATATGCCGGAACACTTCAATATCATCTTCCTCTACGTATGTGCAGTAAATTTCACTACTCCTTTCAAGGAATCCTATGGTTCCTATTGAACTTGCATACGAAGATTGCTCCAGCTCAAAATTTGCTCAAGGGTGGCCCTTCCTGTACATAGGAGACCCTGTGTATGTACATAAAAATATGAAAAGACAGTGCAGAAAGCCACGGCTTTTCCAGCATGACCAAACAAAAAATAGCCTTGCATGCTTCAGCACTGCCTTCAGTTCACTGCTGGCTCCACCTGTGAGGAAACCGGGATAGCTGGAATTGACTTGTGAAGCATAGATGTCCCTTCGAAGACTGTTGTTCGAGCACCATTTAAAAACTTATGCAGCTGCAGGGCAAATCAACATCTACAGGTTATTTATTTCCAAAAATCTCCACATGCTACTACCAGAGATCGATCACCTACCTGGTCCAAGGTTATTTTTGTAAACCCAAATTTTTTGGTCCAAATGGATTCAGCCTCGTCTGCTGCAGGGAGCAGAAAATGCTTCACATTCAGAGATCCCAGCAGTCTCTCGATGCACGAAAAAAGTGACTGGAAGTAACCCTACATGATGAACATAAATTAGTCAGATTTCAATGTTTCTAAAGGCATGTAAAGAGCACCATAGGACCTCAGAAGTTTGCATATATAAAAAAAAAGCAAGGGAAGATTCTTTTTCCATGCCCTTGAAATCTTGTATGCTACAAAAAGTTCCATGCAAAACAAGCAAGCCTCATGATACACCATGTAACACAATCCAAATCATAACAATTGGACCCATGGCACTGGTATCATATTTACAATGACAGAAGTGCTACCTGATGGACCCAAAAAACTAACAAAAAACTGGGAGCTAATTCCATACAATTTTGGATACAATTAAAACATACTGTGTTTGTAGTGATATTTAATTACAAAGTATTTCTCTTGTTAAGTTTCAGTCAAATTACAACTAGGTGTATTCTAAATTAGGATTTTACAATTAATTGACTACAAAGTATTTGTGTTTCTACAATTATTTTTTTACTACAAAGAATTTCTGTGTTTGTACAATTATTTTTATCCAATTATTTTAAGATTTTCAGGTATCATGATACAGATTTCTGTCTAATGTTTATAGAGTCAGTTCAACATACTTGAATGTGCCCTTAGGTTGTCAGGCAAATGTTCTTTGAGAAGTCCCAGTTAGGTAGGAATGGCAACTAGTTGGAACTGGAAAAGGTCAGTTAAGTAGATAATAAATCATAGAGTAAAAGGCCTCATTATCTTCTGTTTTCTTCCTATGTGTAACTTCTATCTCTTTCCCACCATCATTCTCATCTCTCACACTTTGTATTCCCGGGGAGGAACATATTGCCTGCTATCAGTTTCTTTATAACTTGAAATTCACTTCAAAACTTCAAAATTTTCATCTTCCTTCTAATAAATGTTGTGAGGGATATAACAAGTTCAATGTCGAATGTGAAAAATGAGAAACTTGGAAAATGATTACTTGAATGAGGTTGAAGTACACCAGATAGAGAATGTTATACGTCAATCAATTAAAACTTTCCAACAAAGAAGATACGGAGCATGATGCTGCAAAAGCAAATTGATGCTTCTAGATTCAGAATAAGAAATTAAGTTCTAGTTGGCACTTTTAAGTTGTTCCCATCTTTCTTCTGCTACACTGTAAAGGTTTTTATTAGCTTATTATCAGTTTTTATTTGTGTATTTAGTAGTTAAATACATTGTACCTGAAAGTGTTTTTAAGTTAAAAATACATTGTACCAGCTAATTTAGAAGTGTTTTTAAATACATTAGAAAGTAAAATCTATTTTGGTTGTTTATCACATCATATTGCTACTAAATGTATATTAACCCTAAAGATTAGATTAGAGCATAAAGCATAGTGCATCAAGCTCCTTCCCAGTGGCTTTCTCTTATAGTTCATCTTTCACTCACATAATATATGCATTTGGTACCCTAATGATCACCTATAAAAATGTCCAAAAACTTATGTTTCTTCGAGTAGTTCTACAACAGTAGATTTCTGAAACAGGATCCTAGAACACTAGATGCCTCAATGCCTATACGGAAAAAATTAGCTGGACGTTGTACTTGGTTCCTGGCAAACCAACAATACCTATTAGCACAAATATAAACAGCAGCATAATCAACTAACTGAAACAACTGATCTCACAATAAGCACCCCTCAAAATTGAAAATAGTATCAGCATTTGAATTTATTCCAATCCATGATAGGATTCACTGCCCCAAGTTAGTGGTTAAAAAATTATCAAAGATACAAGTTACAAGGCTTTCAGATAACAGAAAGGCACTTAAGTGGCATCCACTCACCTGTCCTTGGTGTTCCCTGCTTGTTGCAACCAACGGTAGTTCTGCAATCTCACTTCCCAAAACACGTAAAATTCCTGCTGACACAACAGATGACCTGCACCAATTAACATAAAGTTATAACATTACAGATTAGTTAACGAAGACCATTCCTCCAGAAATGACTCAGGTAAGTTATAATATTAGCTATAATATTACAGATTAGCTAACATAAAGTTATAATATTACAGATTAGAGAAATGACACTTACCCAACAGTTAAAACGGCACAGAACATTCCTCCAAAATCCTGGTCTCTCACTGTTCTCCTATCAGATAGAAATCAATAAAATTTAGCAGGGAGAAGAAATTAAGAAAACAGAATTAGAACAAAACAGTTAAATATCATACCCATAAACCATGGAGGGAATAAGATCTCGACCTGTTGTAGCCTCAATAATTGGATCAAACGACTCCTACAGAAAAAATAATTGCAACAATTTTAACAATATTTTTCATTGTACTCTTGTGCAGAAAAAATCACCTAAAAAGGCAAACAAAACAATGAAAACTACAGCAGAAACAATATTGAACTAGCAATTACTACTTGTGTAGAAGCATAGATCATGCAAGCGGAAAGCTGGTCATTTTTATTCATATAACAAATATTTTTCATTAACACTGTCAATGTCAGTCCCAAGCCTGGATGAAGAAGGTGGAAGGTTCCATTGGGTCACTAATAAGCAACGTAAAACTATGTCAGATCTCATGATCATGGATCTTAACTGATTTCAATATAAAGTTAGGTTGTCACACAAGTGACGCGAGGAACCTTCATCGCCTAGGTGTTCGGAATTGCAAACGGTGCCGCCCGAATATCAGAACCCGGATGTGGTGACAACTAGGCAAGAGTTCTCTCAGTTTACTTTGGACCAATGAGAATAAAGAAGTTAGTCCAAGATTAACGAGTTAAGTTAGGAACTTGGAATATAATAACACCTTCAAGGAAAGGATTAAAATTGATAAACACTATGATCAAAAGAAGAATAAATATTATTTACTTACAAAAGACTAAGTGAATAGGAAAAAAATCTAGAGAGATTGATAGTACAAGATTTAAAATTTAGTGCATTGAAAAAGTTAAACACAGAAATGGTGTAGAATTGTTGTTGATAAGGATCTTAATAATAATGTTGTAGATGCAAAAAGATTTGAAAATAGAATTATAGTTCTAAAATTTATGAAAAGATAAGATGTTTTGAATGTCATTAGTGTTTATGCCCCACAAGTCGAATTGGATGATGAAACTAAAAAATAATCTTGGGAAAGCTTATATGATATCATTCAATGAATTATTATAATCGAAAAACTTATAATTGAAGAAAATTTGAATGGTCATATAGGGAAAACATATGATGAATATAAAGAAATACATGGGAAATTTGATTATGGGGAGAGAAATTAAGATGCTGGTATGATTTTGGATTTTGTAACTTCATATGATCTTATAATTGTAAATACTCACTTTAAAAAGAGAGATAAACATTTAATTACT